AAGCAACTAAACCCATTGGTTATTCAAAAGGGCTATTTCACCCCTAATTACTTTTGTGTATCTCACTCAGTACAAGTTAACCAGTGGCCTCAACCAGAAATTTTCTTCTATACACGGTAGTAACTGAATGTTTCAAGGTCTATTGTGGACAGGTGTGCTGATGCACCGCGTAAGGCATAATTCCCAAGGTTACGAAAACTATCATTTCAAGGAACGAGTTCATCATCTGATAGGATATCAGAAACGTGATTACCGGCCAAGAAATCAAAGCACAAAATGCATTCTTTGGCACTTTGTCCAACCTGGAGCAGTTCTATTTTGTGATTTTTTGAGAAAGAATCGAATCATAGTCGTTCTTCCTTTTTTCATGAAAGTCCACTACTTCGGTTGGACTCTGACCAATGACAAACCTAACGTAAGGTTGGTCAGCTGACTATGGGAAATGACTTGGTATGCAAAATACTTTAGTTTCAGGCTAGTTATCGCCGGGTGAGGTAAAATCACCAGTTTGCGCAGTCGGTATTCGAGAACACCTTACATTATTCTTCATACTGTGGAACGACGGTTTCAACAGAACTTCGTAGATAAGTGGCCTTCCTTGTGGAGTCAAACAAAACTTCATGGCGTAATAAATCAAAATCACCCCCAGAGATACAGTAAGCCATCAGTGGTGAACGATCCGATTTCAATGAACCAGTTATCTTGCGTAGCCACCGAGAAAATTACGGTGATTTAGATTGAATTTCCAAACATCCCGGGGTAGTAGAAAGCCAGGCCTTCCCACACAAGGTTGCTCAAGCTTTCACACCTTTACACGGTGTTTCGAATCACCCGCGTAAATATTCACATGCTCAACGTTCGTACTTCTTTCGACAACCTTTTTCATGAGCAGCGACCTACCCCACTTTAGCATACTGTTTGTTCCCCCAACGGCAACCGGTTACTGTGGCAGGATAGATCGGTTTTACTGATGTTCCGCCCTCAGAAGCCAGGCCCACTTTCGACTAAACCTTTGGTTTTTCTTTTCGTGCCTAACTTGGTCCTGTGGTGCCCTTGGACGACCGCATGACATCCGTCACTTCGCCACTGAATCACGTGTTTGGGTACTATGTAACATTCCATGCCATGCTTGATAAAGAAATAAATAACGTCTACCCACTTTGTTTGATAAAAAAAAACTTGCTCACCTCACCGACAAAGTTGATTGAGTTCCCAATCAAAATCACAAGTTTACATTGTTTACCGCTGGACTACTTATACTCTATTAGTAGTGAGGTGAGGAGAAGCTGATTTTCCTCTGAAGCCATAAGCTCTGGAAAAACAGTCAAGCTACCTGCAGACTGGACAAATGATGCTCGTTCTAAAAACGATGAGACTGGTTGATCAACCACAACCGTGTCTTTCCTTCGACTGAGGGGCAAACAACTGGGGCTCCACGTTTGCGGAGCCTCGTTACACATCTGAGGTAGGTATGTGCTGAGATGAAGGCACACCAGGAAGTTTTACTAACCGCTTTCTAGAGATAAGAATGAGGAGGGACAGCAGTTTGAACGAATGTCAGATGTGCCACAAAATGTACCATTCAACTCTTGGAAGTAGTCCAGATGGCATGATGTTTAATTACTTTTGTAAGCCAGATACAAAGTCACAAGGAGAAAAATCCAAGTAAATCTTGACTCACAGTTCAAAATAGGAGATTCTGTAGTTCCGTATTCCGTTGAACCACCACACCAAGAATAGTTCTATCTTCCTGGTATTCCAGATCTCCGGTGATCGAAATATATTAATCCACAAGTGTGAATATATTAGTCCAGTGTTTGCAGCTGAAATGTTTGTTCACGTTTAGTGTTAGCAGCGGTCAAATATAGCCAACCGGCGGTCACAACAACAGCTACTCAGCAAAAGTCTCAAAGTCACGTTGGAGCCAACAAGCGGGCGGTAGCGGTTGTATTTCAGTAAAACAAACTTTTCTACAGCGATGTGACTGAAAATGATGGGAAAAAAGATGATACTGAGCATGAAAAAGAGCAGTTTACATGTGCTACACTACGCTATTCCGAACATGTCTCTGGAGTACATTTTTCGAGATAATTTGCTGAACGGGGAAGGGACCGGTTTACTTTCTACTCAGTGGATTTATTCGGGTACTGGAAAAGCTGGTCCCATATGGCCGTGCACTTCCGAGTAGGCGGTAATATGTTTTACTTTTTGCATAAGCAGGTAAAAGACACCTCCTGACAAGAGGAGCTCAAAAAACGAGAACAGCTGAGTCGTCTAGGTTGAAAAGTATCTTCGTGCGTAGTTTATCTCCTACTCAAAACCACACTGGTTCGGCTCTTCACTGAGGGTGACTATAGCTGGACTCCAGCGACACCAGCGTTGTCCTTGGAACGATTTCAGGAGCACAGTGAGGTGACGTTAATGGTGCAACGATTTGGGGACCGGACTCGTCGGTTTCATTGGAGTGTGTGAAGCCCATTCCAAGAAAATTACGATAATTGAGGGCGACGAAACATTGCGGTATACACACACAAGCCTAAAGTTATTAGGGATACATTCAGGCCCAAGCAGTCCCACAACGTTGTCTCCATCAGCACCAATGGGGGCGAGATGGCTGGAGTGGGTAGAGCGCAATAAGCAGTTCTCCATCAGCACCAATGGTGGCGAGATGGCTGGAGTGGGTAGAGCGCAAATTTACTGACAGGAATTTCCATGGTTAGAGTCCGACATCTGCCTCTTGACTTTCTCGGTCTACGCTTGGGCAACCTGGTAGTATCCCAGCCCTCGTGCTGTCCTCGGGTAGTATGGCAGTTTGGCACCGGAAGGGTGTTACAGCTGAACGACTGATTGTTCTCAGCACTAGTCGAGACTGTCCTAAAACGGAGCTTTCTTGAGAACATTGTATCATATTGTAGAGTCTTTATTTTTCAGAATACTTCCTGATGTGTGTGTCCAACGACGATTAGTGAAGCAGTCGATAATGGGAAAGCCTGGTACTTGTCATGTTTTCTGTTCTCCACAGTGAGTATACCAAGTTTTGTTTCTGGTATGCTGAGAAAAAATTTCTTGTTCTTGCACAAAACCGTCTTTCAAAAGTAAGGCCCAAAATCTATGCCTCCAACAGAGACCACTGTTCAGGATATCTCAATGGCGCTCACTGTCCGCAAGAACCATGGTATCAAATTTGCTCTCTGTGTAATGTTTACCAATGATGTGAAATTAAGCCCACGGAGAATGCACCTTCTCCCAGCTCTGATGTCTAGATTCTCAAGACAGCTGGCCCAATTTTGGAAACCTTTAGTAAAATGTCACTCGTATCTTAACCCCGTCTGTATCTTCCTTTCCACAGGGGACTACGGACTATCGTGAGAGCTATCGCCCATGGACACTGGGTCCAAGAGAGAGGGGCGTAGGTCCGGGCACATCGTACTACAAATCGACCGAGCCGTTCGACGGTTGCAGTACAACAAAACAGCACTATGTACCGCATCCGGGTTGTCGACCGGCAGAGTCGTGCAAGCCTCATCAGGTTGCAGCTGGTGGTCAAGGCGAATTTGACGACGCCACAATCTATAGGGGAGATTACACACGAAAGTATTTGGAACCTTGTCCAGCCGCGTTGCTCAACACCAGTCGCAGTGGATTTGCCTATGCGCAAGAGGTAAGCATCCACAAGCAATATCCCGCATATTTTTCGACGGAGAGATGCTATCCTCTCAGCAGTATACCAAACTAAATTGTTGCTTGCTTAGTTTACTTGATTATAACACTCATTCATCGGGTAATGTTCCTATAGAAACACACACATCTAATCTAAGGGATGCGAGGAGCGATGACCGTTGGACTGTGAGAAGATATAGGTAGATTGCCTTCCCGAAAGAACTAGCCTCGCCAGAGTGTATCTGCGCATTTATTCAAAAATACTACCAGTGAAAGGAAGAAGGCCATCGCTGCAGAGTCATTTATTCGAAAATGCAAATTAAACAGTTACAGACTATTGAACAGGGAAGCAAAACTCTCTTATGCAACTTGCTTATAAAAACTGAACATCCATCTTCTTGAACGCGTCTTTCCAAACTTTCCTGCATATTCATTGACTCAAATCATTCATTGCTCAAATCCAAGCAAATGCTACAAAACGACTCCATACATTCCGTAATAGATCTCCCTTTTTAAGAGACGCAAAGCGACTTTACAAGAGGAAAACATACTACTCGCATGCCTCCCCCATCAGTAGTATCACCGTTACACCACTAGCGTGACCACCGATGAACATGTAGCCAAATTTCGCACATGTCATCTAACTAGTTTGCGCTGCGGCCTCTTTTCTGTCGTTTTTCGTACTTTTGACCCCACCCATACTGATGGCGACACCGACTGGTTCACAGTTGTCCCGGTGTGGTATGTTTCAGAATTCTTTGTCCGAGTACAACAACAATATCCTGTTATGGACAGCCTGAACTCGATTCGTCCATGAGCTGAAATTTTGAGTGTTGGATATAGGACGGCACTGCTTACAGTTTGCTAGGCTAACACAATGCTACACCGATAGACACTGGAGCTTTCGACAGCCCTCAGTGAAGCACGGAAACACGTGATCAATATTTCATCTGACCAGTCCAAACCACGACATGGAAGTCCACAGTTCAGAGTTCATCCGAACATCGCAGTGGACAAAGGCTGGCAACCTCCTCTCTCAGAAGAATTGCGTGTGCAACGCCAATAACCGGTGAACACACAGAAAATTTCAACACTTCACGAGGGACGTCAGAGCTCCAGTTGGCTCAGTGGTTAAGGCATGGACAAACTGAGCGGAAGAGGGCGGAAGTTAACGGCTGCATCTCTACTGCTCCCATGTAGGCTTGGGCAACCTCACTTATGAAGTTGCTGATCATTACTGGACAGTCCAAAATCATTCTTGCCTTTTTCGGGGCTCACTAGATAGCCATAGGCCCCCGAGTTTTGTAACTGAACACTAAATTTTAAGCACGCCGCCAACTACACCCATAGGTAAATTAATTAGGTCACAACGGGAGACCCAAATAAACCCCAGGTTCACGATATTCTATTCTACACAAAAAGGCCGAAACATGTTTGAGTTGGAAACCAAGCCACTTACGGTGTTGAGTAGAACTGCTATTGTACCGTAGCACTCTAGTAAAGTGTATCGATAGAAATATTTGAATATTTTCTGTAACGCTACAACTGAAACACGAACGAATCTTGCACATCACGTTGAAGCATACTATAAAGGCAGCCTAAGCTGGATTTCATTTGAGCCTCTTGTTAGCGCCAAGTTACTTTTCAAACAAGTGTATAGTACAATCGTGTGAGCACCATTCGATCGGGCAACATTTGTCTGACTGCGTTCATTTGACAGAACGCCGATGAGGTGGGAAGTTTAGGGGGTATTTGTAAGTGATCTCTTGTCAAGGGAGCCCTTTCAGAGCAGGATTGCATGACTTTGATACCGGAGCCATGGATAAGCCCACATCAATTCAAAATACGCGCAGTTCTCCGCACGCAAAACAAAACGCGAATTCTACACCTTGATCTGTTTTATTTTATTACAGGATGAAAATGGTCATCTGTTCTACTACAAAGTGGCAGAAACCACGTCGGACTACGCGCCAACGCAAGATTTGCTAACAACCAATGCCATGACACAGCCTGTGGCGGTCGCTAACTGATCGGAAGCAGTGTCCACAACGGAATCCCACACTTTCGCACAAACTGCTTGATATTTTTATATCCACATGTTGTCGTTTCAATACTCGGTCCTTCGCACACATCACACCTTTGATCACCTTCGATTAGCCATACACTTTCCCAATCACGCACATCAATGACTAGATTCGAGAGTTAGATTATGCATGGTTTTTCTCTCTACGGATTTTTCTCTCTCTCTCTTTCTCGTGCTTTTTAGATCTGTCTATTCAAATAAATACATGTTTTACACCCTGTGTTATCTCCCCCTTCCTTCGGACATACAAGTACTAAGAACAGCGCACTTGTGTCACCCATCTTTGCTTGAAGAAAAACACTCAATTTCTCTAAGGTGTATATTTTTCAAAATTTTAAACACTTTGTTTGCATTGACTGATGATGAGAGAAACAGCGGTAAGTACAAACTCAATGTTTCAATGATGTAGGTGAACTGCGTCAGAAGCAACTTGTCGTCAGGGTGGAAGAGAGCCAGAGGCGGTCAAACAATGACTTGGCAGCGAAGTACAGAAGCCATTATCAGCAAACTCAGCTGCGCTGGTCATTGCCGTCTTCCTGGATGGAAACCCTGAGACGGACCATATCAGTGGTTTGAGATATTGTCAGACATGGCCCAGTCGCGTCCTCAATGGCGCTCGTGCATCCAAGCTATTGCCTTCAATGCATAGCTCCACTTCCCAATCCTCCACTTAACAGTCCACCTACAGCGTTGTATTTACGCACCAATTTATCAGCTCCCGCTTTCAATGCGCAGCAATCTACCCCACCTCCCCGAGTCACCGGTGAATGAAACTGTGGCAGCAACAACCACTGTACGACAAGTACGCGGTTAATACAACTGACAATGATGATGATGAGCTTATCTGGATCACGAGGTCTGACTGCTATTCATCGCTGTGCGGCCAACCTGAGAGGACTTTTCAAATGGTCAAGTCGTAACAGTCACGTGTGCATGTGTTGAAGCTGTCTGCTAGTCACGCTATCGATTGGTACTAAGGGGCTCTGACCACACAGCGGATATGGACTCACCGTCATTTCGAGGGACGGCTGTTCGTGGAGTATCAAAGCTTCCGTACCGTACCATTCTGCGTCCGATGTCAGGCATGACAATGAACCATCTCAAAATTTCTTAAAATTCTTGAAGGTCATCGACGCAGTCACAGTGATAGTCATCAAATTCAAGTTCCCCATTTACTCAGGTCCAGAATAGACAAGGAAACCAGGTAGATCCAGCTTACTTTCCAAAAAAGAAACCAGAACCCGCAGTAACGAACTTCTGAGATATCTTTCAACTTATCCAAATTTATCCTAGTGCGTAAAACCTGTTCACTGGTCCTATGTCGTTGGATGTGATGTTCAGCCAACGGAGGTGTACAGCGCTCAGAAGAACACCGCAGCAGGTAAGTGAATAGACTCACCATTCCAGGTGCTCCAGCCATCCCCATAATTAGTCCTGTGTTGGTCGTACTCATAGATTCTTCCACTCTTCAATGCTTGTTGAAGAGATGCAGTGCAAATTTTATTCGGTGGTTTAACCGTGCCAGATTTCCCACTGAATGTATCTCACACGAGCCCACAAGGCTCGCCCAACAGTCATTGTGCATTGATACGCAATCATGTGAGCCCGTCAGTGAAAGACATTCGAGAACGTCTTAAAAACTTGTTGTTGAAGTTCATGTAAGGAATGAGGACATCTAGATGGATCGGACAGGACATGTGAAGCAGAGCTGCTTGAAGTTGAAACGATTTCTCAATAGTACTTTGAGTACAAAAGCGGTCAGCTGCATCCAGAGTCTAATGCCTTGTTACTCGGTCTGACGCGCCTATAGGCTCTGTTGATGACATACACTGCAATACTTGTGAGTGAAAGAAGGCCTTCGGTGCGGAGCTGAACAGTCACAGACTATTGGAGAGGGAAGCAAAACTCTCATATGCATCTTGTTCACAAAAACTGAATATCCATCTTCTCGTTGAGCGCGTCTTCCTGAACTTTCCTGGATATTCACTGATTGTCACTCAAATGCAAGCAAATGCTACAAAGCGTCTCCACACATTCCGTAATAGATCTCACTTTCAAGAGACGTGAATTGGATTTACGAGATGACATACTACTCGCATACCACATCAGTAGTATCCATCGTTACATCTAGACTATTGTAACAACTACGACACTCTGGTCAACGCCCGAAAGTATACCGCACAACAAACGACAATAAAACAGTTTATCTGGTTCTCTGAAATAAGCGTGCTGGCTAGACAGACCAGTCAGCTCAGTAGCTAACCTTCCGAAATCAATTAAAACGGTGCTTCCTACAAAGCGTTCCACACATTCCGTAATAGATCTCACTTTCAAGAGACGTGAATTGGATTTACGAGATGACATACTACTCGCATACCACATCAGTAGTATCCATCGTTACATCTAGACTATTGTAGCAACTACGACACTCTGGTCAACGCCCGAAAGTATACCGCACAACAAACGACAATAAAACAGTTTATCTGGTTCTCTGAACTAAGCGTGCTGGCTAGACAGACCAGTCAGCTCAGTAGCTAACCTTCCGAAATCAATTAAAACGGTGCTTCCTGAATCACCTGAATCATCTTCAGTTGGCGAGCAGGTTTGAAAAGATGGTAAGAGAGAGAGTAAGCGTGTGAATACCCTGCCCTATTATTTAATCCGTCACGAATAACCCCCTACATGCGGATTTACGAGCCAGGGGACCATCAGTGAGGGATGTGCATATTGCAGCCGTTTCCTGTCTATGGTTCGTTAACTTGTGTGCCTTCAAGTTCGGGCGCATCTCTCAACCATGAGCCAGCTTACAATGCATGCTAGATTTCGCTGAATATTCGGAGTTTACCTGCCTATTTCTGCCTCAGAGGGAACACCTGAACTGTGCAAATGGTTTCAGCTCCATCTAACTGAGTAAGGAT